CACCACCACCACCACCACCACCACCACCACCACCACCGCCACTCCTGCCATACGTATCAAACTTTCTCTTCGTGCTTAGCTACTTACTTACCATTTACATGCATACGTGTTACACTTTTGTCGACTCAGATATGCGCTTCTCAACACACGGGCTCGTGTTCAATGTGCTTACGTCACGAGCACCGAGTGCGTTATTCCCACAGAAAATATCGTTATCTCGCCGCGTCGATAGTGGTGGATCGGCCGGCAAGATCCACCACGTTTCCCGCGAGGTTCCTCTCCTCTCTCGCCTCGTCTCTCATCCTTCCTTCGAATTGCACCGCGACGTTTCGCGATTTATGGAAATATGTCCCTTGCCGCGATGTCGTTTCGCTATGTAGGTAAAGGGGTCACCGGTTCAAGGTCGATCTTAGTCATTCGTAGAATCTAGCTGGCGTACTCTCCGCTCGCGTGTCCATCACCGATTCGAAATTCTCTCCCTCCCTTTCTTTCCCTGCAACACCGATCGCTCGGTTCCTCGGTTCCGTCTGATTACACGGGAAATGAATTTCCCGCGTTCTCTATTCGATCGCGCGGAAATTAATTCCACGTTGTTCGCCTCTGGAAGCGAACGTTCCGTTCGATACGGCTCGAAGTGGCTCGCGCGGTAAGAGAAACGTCGATCGCGTGACTGCAAGCGACGCGTCAAAGTACGAAAACGATACGTGACGTTGTCCTTTGCCATCCGTCGCGTTCCCTCGTTTCGCCTCGCTTCGCAGTCACTGTTCGCAGTACACGTGATTTCCACTTGGAATCTTTGAAGCGACGCCCCAGCCAGCGTGTTGCAATTTCAGTCGATCAATCGATCGCCGATCGACGACTGACTGAGTTTTCATCGGGTTCGTTCGCGATCAAACAGGCGAAACGAAAGCTCGTGAGACAGACTTCGGTTCGGTGCTCGAATCTCGCAAAGCGAAGACGCCGATCGCGAACGATCGCGAGGATGGGGAAAGTCGGTTTCGTCGGGAAAGGAAAGCAACGGAGGAGGAAAGCAGCGGTTCGTGACGAATCGCGAGGAAGAAAATGGAAAGATCGGGAAACGCGGTATCGACACCGCGGTGAAACCACACCCCGGTGTGACGAGATTTGACCAGCCATTAGATCCGAGAGCAGGGTAAGAGAAGAGGCGGGACGACGCTGGTCGATCCCGGAGAATTTCCACGGTCTCTAATTGGTCGGTTTCTCGTCGAAAATAATCCATCTGGGTGTAACCAGCTGCTAAACGTAGCTCGTAAAGTGTTCGAACGTGGCTGGGGCTCTTTGAGGCGTGTGGGTTTTGGCGGTCGAGGAAGAACGTGTGGTCCTCGACCGAGCGTGAGCGTAAGCGCGAGCGCCGAGTGCGAGCGTGAACGCGAACGCGAACCGCGGCCGGTTACGACGATCCTCGCTACGAAAGTCGACGAGAGAGCGTGTGCCTGTTGCGAGAGGAGAGCTTGCGGGCCGCATTCGCGCGCGCGTTTCAGGGCCACGCGCCGAATGCGTCGGAAAGCTCCTCGTCGCATCGTGCCGCGCCGCGCCGCGCTTTCCACTTTGCTTCGTTCAAATTTCCACTCGTCTCGACATTGCTTATTGATCGTCAATTTTCCTCGTTTTCACTCGCATTCATTCGACTCATTTGCTCTTGTTCTTTTCGCTCGCGTGCTCGAATATTTTGCACCAGTGGGTTTTTTCGATTTGTCTGGAAATCGGCCGATTCGTCGCAATCGATCGACCGTTCGATGGGACAGGGCTCGTTAACGAGAACGGAAATGGTAACCGGAACACGTGGCCGGTGCTCGCGATGATCGTGATCGCGATCGCGATCGCTTATCGCGACACGTGGTGCAATTCTCAGTTCTGGTGAGAACTGATCGTATCGCGAATCACGAGCCTGCTCCGCGGAAACGAAATCGGCGGCGCAAGTGTCCAGACGTGTTCCGCTATTGGATTTCGGAAAGAAACGGAAAGAAAGGAACAACCAAGGGGCAAGAAAGAGGTGAAAGAGAACGCTTTCATATCGATGTGTCTCGCGAGAAACGATGACTCTCGTGACAGACACGGTGTCTTACGCTTGTCAACCGGTTGGTAGACAATCCTACGACGTTTATCGCCACCATCACCTTCAACTTCGACACCATCATCATCTGCATCGTTACTATCACCATCGACATCACTATCATCATCACCATCATCATCATCATCATCATCGTCGTCGACGACGAGACACGTACGCCGTATCTACCGATGATCCAGCGATCGAGTGTCTGCAAGGCTACCTGTCCGAGGGAAACGTGAAAGAGGAAACGGCACACCGAGCGATCGAAACAGCCGAGGACGACTCCGCGTTAGGATCTACCAGCTCTCATCGTTATCGGTAAACGACCAGACAACACGACATCGTTCTCATCCTCCTCGTCGGGTTCGACAACTTTTCTTTTCTTTTCTTTTCTTTTCTTTCTTTTTCCCTTTCTTCCGAGATTCTTCGAGAGCGAAACTCTAAGCGAAACTCCGCTCCTCTCCATTGATAATCCGAGAGAGTAAACGCGACGACGGTTTTATCGCACGTCCAGCCATTTTCACTTCGTATCTCGTGTTCCGTTTAACCGCGTTTAACCATCTTGTTGAATCCATCATCGCACCGGCCCCACCCCACCTCCCCCTGGTTCCTGTGGATCATCTTGTGTTGTCAACCACCTGGAACGATTCCAATTGGGAACGACATTCTTCGTAAAACGCGGGGCTAGAATGCTCTCGCGATCCACGTCGACAGTTTTTCTTAACTGGTCGTGAGCAAACAAGGAAAGAGAGAGAGAGAGAGAGAGAGGGAGGGAAAGAAAGAAAGGAAGGAAGAGAGGGGAAATAAAGGTGAAAAGGTAAAAGTTGACGGTGGGTCGATAGGTCGCGAGCGTCCAAGTACGCTGTGGACTCGGACGACGCGTCGTCTGTCGTGTCAGTGGACGCCTCGGCCGATCTCGGCGAGTCCGGCTCCGTGGAGGAGAGCACCGGAGAGGGTAACGAATCGAACGAGCCAATCGAACCCAACGAATCGAGCGAAAGAAGCAACGAGTCGAACGAGCACGTGCCGCATCCTCACGCTGACACCGCCTCGCAGCACGGACCGCGCCGGTGTCTGCTCTGGGCTTGCAAAGCCTGCAAGAAGAAGACCGTCACCGTCGATCGAAGAAAAGCTGCTACCTTGCGGGAAAGAAGGCGTTTGAGAAAGGTTAGTTATCGAAGCACAGGCTACAGCGTGCTAGTCAAAAAAGTATTCTTCTTCTTTTCTTTCATCTTTGTGAAAATATACATTTCTTACGTACAAAAGCAATCTCGAACATCACGTTGAGTGAACCTTTTTATTCGTGGCAGTCGTTGTCTATCATCAAGAAGAAGCACTTACCCAAAGATGCACAATTTTTCTACATTTGATCTAAAATACTTAATATCACGTTCCTCTAATTTTCTTTTACCGAAATGTTTCTCTTACTGAAATGCTGTTGACGTTCCTTCCTAAAGTTGTATATTTCATTGCCTCGAAATTTCATAAATTTCTGGGTCATTTATCACAGATCAATGGATAAAAGTTTTTCCTACCTATCAGTTTACTGCCTCTCATTTCGAAAGACTACTCTTGGGACGGTAATTCGCAGCGATGGACAGCATACGCACAAATAAAATAAATAAAGATATGTACAAACATCGTGTTGCAATGAATTTCACCGAGCCGGACGTTCATACGTGAAATGTCGAACGATTATGACCGGATATCCGTAGAAATATTTCTACGTATTGACGAAGAGATTGCCATTTTAATCGCTACTTAGCAGAATTTATGTTTAAAAATGCATACGATTTTCTCGAAAGATTGGACATTTTTTTTTTTGTTTTTCAAAATAATAAAATAAATAAAATTGCGTGTATCTTGTCAAAATTATTATTTTTGTACTCTGATACTGTACAGTACGTATGTATCACAGAAATTATGTGCGTGTATTGTGAAGAAAAAAAAAAATGTCCATAATACATAAGTGTTGTATACGGACCTTTTCTTGATAACAGCTTTTCAAGCACTTTCATCACACTTAGGATGATTTTGACAGTATGTTAAAAACTCGTGGAAATCGGAGATACCTTTTTCTAAACAATTACCATGCTTTGTGATAAATGGACCGTAACGATTTGCTGAAATTGAAATTGAAGCAACATATATATACCTATGTCGTTCAAGTTCTATGCAACTAGTACTTGGTTTATTCCATTTCGCAAAATTTGAAATGGAATAAAAACTTTTAGAATGCAAATAATAACATACAGACGTTTCAATAGCTTTAAAATTTCAACACGAAACGGAGATATACAATATATCATCAACATCTTAGCAGATATCCCTTTGACAGAGATATTTAACTGAATATATTTCCACTTCTATTTGCGATACGTGCTTTGTTATATACACGTTGCCAAACACAAGATCAAAATTAGATTAAAGAGTCTCATTAGAAGTGAGATGTATAGATACGTTTGTCCGCAAATATTTCACGTTGCAGATTAGCAGCGATTTGTTTCATAATTTATTGGCACGTACGTAATGAAAATTGTACGCGAAAGTAAAAATAAGTACAAGTAACCGTGCGAATATTGTATAAAGAGCAACATGCAAAAGGAACAAAAAATAGAAACAAAAGAGCAAAAACTGACATATATAACTAATTGCAAGTATAATTTATTATTAATTAGGCGAAGGAGAAGAAACATCTATAGCAATCCGTAGTTACGTTATATTTGCAGTTGTAATAACATGCGGAGAGAATTTTTAAACGTCATCGACGTGAGAAAGCTCCGAGTGTTTCGCGTCTCTATCGTTTCAGGTGAACGAGGCGTTCGAAGTTTTGAAAAGGAGGACGAGCAACAATCCTAATCAACGACTGCCGAAAGTAGAAATCTTACGGAACGCGATCGAGTACATCGAAGGTCTGGAGGCATTGCTGCAGAGCAACCGATCTT